ATTTATTAAATTTAAGAATCGCGAGCGTTCACGAGCCCTGGCGTAGTGCTGCCACCGTACTCATTAATTGCGATATACAATCGGTATGCACAAACAACGCTAGCTGCCGGTTTGTTGGAATTCTTGTCTGTCAAAACAGTCAGAACGCTCCTGGAGCTCACGGTGTGAGCGTTCAACGCGAGACCTCACTCTTTCTGTACAACCTTATAATAAAGTTGTGATTATATTGTAACAAGTGTGAGTTCTTGCCCACACTTCGATATTACGTGGAGTGAATCCTTGGGAAGCGATCACCGGAAGTTGAATCTCACGAGAAGTTACAAACATTTTTGGTCCTTCGAGCCGGATCACGCTTGGAGCACAAGGTGGATCCGTTATATTCATCATTAAGTAAATATCGTGAGATCGAAGAGCTGTTTGGTGATTCAAATTGCTGACCGCTGACAAAGACGAGAGGCATAGCATTGTTCTTCGAGACATTCCTGCGCTCTCGTACATTCATAAACAACTCCGTGGTAATACCAATAAGGAACGTTCCCCGGCAATCTTCCATTTTTCACTGAATTCGACATACGCTGCCATAACTATGGAGGAATTATATTCCGAACAAGAAGACGTAATTAGATCAATCACTCGGACAGTCACTAACTTCAAGAAGCTAGGACAAGGTAACTATACAACGTCGATAACGCGCAATTGCTTAAACATTCTACAAGAGTTATGGACACGGTGCCAAAGCCTTCATGCTGAAATCAAGCTCGCAGCAACGGACGATGAACGTGAAGGACACGACTACTTCACGAAGGAGGGGTTCCTGAAGGCGGAAGCTGAGTACTACGATGCTTCGGACTTTTTCACCGAAATATTCGATAAGTTATCAAAGCCTGTAATTTTCCCTCCGATTGCCGCTCCGGCTGACTTGAGTAACTCTGGCGTAAGCGAATGTTCTGCAACTCCGCGTATACCATTACCGCGTATAGAGTTGCCTAAGTTTTCGGGCTTGCTGACCGAGTGGGTTAATTTTCGAGACATTTTTGAGTCGTTAGTCGCGAATAATGAAGTGTTATCTAATGTTCAACGTTTACACTACTTAAAATCCAGTTTAACGGGCGCAGCACAACTCATACTTAAGAACACTACGGTGACAGATGCTAATTACGAGATCGCGTGGAATGCATTGAAAAACCGTTACGAAAATAAACGGGTGATCGTTTCTGCGCACATAAATAACATTCTCGACGCACCGAATATGAAAGCTGATACGACCTCCGAATTTAAACGCGTATACGATACCGTTACCGACTCTCTAGCTGCGTTACGTTGTCTTGAACGTTCAACGATCGATGATTTTATTGTTATCATTGCGGCTCGTAAATTGGATCCGCATACGCGAACAGAATGGGAGCTAAGCCAAGGCAATACTACCGAACCGCCCTCCTTTACAAAGTTAACTGATTTCCTTCTTTCGCGAATTGTTGCGTTAGAAGCGGCAAATGGTAACTCAGATAATCCAAGCAACAAATCGCATCGTGCTAGCTCTACTAAGTCACTAGCGTCGATGGTAAACAATACAAAATGTCCAATGTGTAACGAATCTCATCCTCTTTATCAATACGCTAATTTTAAGTTACTATCTCTAGATAAGCGAATGGCGGTGGCGAGACAGCATCGCTGCTGCTTTAATTGCTTGAGTAAGGGACACATTCCGAGTAAGTGTCCTTCACGGAATCGTTGCAAGCGCTGCCAGCGTAAACATAACACACTGTTTCATGATGATAATTACAACCTTCACAGCATTACCTTTGGAAATAAGACCGAGGACACAGGGGTAAAGACGGCCGCTTACACGGCCGAGAGATCGGTGAGTGAGACTATACCAAAATCTAGCGTGACACTTAAACTATCGGTCACCAAAGAAAGCAACCATGTACCAAGCTCATCAGTAATGCTCGCTACTGCACGGATTCTTGTATGTACGGAAAGCGGCCGTCAACTAAAGTTGAGGGCCCTTATTGATACAGGCTCTGAAGCCACCTTCATTACTGAAAGGGCCGCTCAGTTATTACGAGCAAAGAGAAAGAAGGTGCATATTCAAGTCACTGGATTAGGAGGGCGGACTAACAGCACAGTTCATTTTAGCACCAAATTAATAATGAAACCGTGCAGCAGTGAAACTGAGAGCGTATCTGTAACAGCCCTAATCCTACCCAACTTAACTTCATATAATCCTGGCACTTCCCTTTGTAAGGACGAAATCTTGGGACTAAGGAACCTGCAATTAGCAGACTCACACCCCTCAAGTCGCGAACGTATTGATGTGTTGATCGGCGCAGATATTTACGGCCTTATATTGTTAAACGGATTACTCAAAATTCCGGACACTGCTCTTGTCGCTCAACACACAATTTTTGGCTGGGTACTTTTTGGGTCCTTTGTGAAGAACACTAATAACGATACCAATATAACGGCTAACCTACAATGTTCCATTAAACTCTCGATAGATGTAATATTGAAGAAGTTTTGGGAGATCGAGGAGGTGTCACACTCCCCTCCCTTGTCGAAGGAGGATTAGATCTGCGAGGAGCACTTTATCTCCACTCACTCACGCTTACCCAATGGGCGCTATGTCGTACGTCTACCGTTTAAACCTAATTATCTTCCAGACAGTAACAATTCCTTTCATAATGCGACTAGTTGCTTTAATCGTCTGGGGCATCGTCTGAAACGGGATTCAAAATTGGCTAAAGCCTACCAAGGTTTCTTGGAGGAATATTTAGAGTTAAACCATATGGCTCCTCTAACTTCACTAGAAATAGCAAAAGGTCCGTGCTATTATTTACCTCATCATCCTGTTCTCAAGGACAGCAGTACGTCTCCTATTCGCGTAGTCTTTAACGCATCTAGCACGACCTCTAATGGCCTTTCTTTAAACGACTGCCTCTTAACAGGACCAAAGCTACAGTTAGACTTACCATCCATCATTTTGAAAGGGAGATCCCACCGCTTAGTTTTTGCAGCGGACATTGCCAAAATGTTCCGCCAAATCATGATTCATACTGAAGAGTCTAATTTTCAGCGGATTTTATGGCGTTCAAGTCCTGATCAGCCTGTTACTCATTATCGCTTAATGACAGTTACTTATGGTACAGCTACAGTCCCGTATTTAGCAATGAGGGTACTACAGCAGTTGTGCTCAGACGAGGGCTCAGATTTTCCGTTAGCCGTGCCAGTTCTACGAGATACTACCTACGTAAATGACGTATTATTTGGAGCAAACGATGTCAATACTGTCCAAGAAATACGTAAACAATTAGATTCACTTTTACACCGCGGAGGCTTTCATTTAAGGAAATGGTCGTCAAATTACGAAGACTTACTTCAGGACATCCCTACTTCAGATCGACTCGATTTAAATAACGTATTATTCTCTGAGGATTGTACCACAAAAATATTAGGTATCTCGTGGAATCCCACAACAGACAGCTTCAATTATCAAATCAAACTACCCAATTCACACGGAAAAACTAAAAGATACGTCATGTCAACCATAGCAAGCCTGTTTGATCCCCTAGGCTGGATAGCTCCCGTGGTGATATCCGCTAAAATTCTCATGCAAGAGTTATGGATACGAGGAGTCAACTGGGACGATACCCTCCCAGACGACCTCCTCTCTCGTTGGAATTCCTACTCAAGAGCTCTCCGAACTCAAGTATATCTCAATACCAAGATGGACTAGACAGACCGTATCGGATTTAGGGGTCGAACTCCATGGATTCTCTGATGCGTCTAATAGAGCCTACTCAGCTGTCGTATATATTACCATTTTGTCCTCCATGAGCCAATACAACACTACCCTACTTATTAGTAAATCTAAGGTCGCACCTATTAAAACGATAAGCATTCCCAGGCTAGAGTTATGCGGAGCAGTCTTACTTACACGCCTCATTGCATTTATCTTACGTACATTAAATCTTACCGAAGTACCAATTTACTGTTGGTCCGACTCTATGGTTACATTGTCCTGGATTAAGCGACACCCTTCTACGTGCAAGACCTTCGTGGCCAATAGAGTCTCCGAAATACAGACTAATCTGTCTCAGGCGAGTTGGAGATATGTTGATTCTAAAAATAATCCCGCGGATAGTGCTTCCCGCGGCCTCACTGTCGCTGAGTTAAAAGACAATTCTCTTTGGTGGTCAGGACCCTTTTGGCTACAGGAACATTCAACCAAGTGGCCGGAGCAGCCACATATCCTAATGACGGATGAAGGTATGGAACAGAGACCTTTGATATCCCACTTAGCGCAATCGCACACGGTTGAAAGGGATTTACCATCAAAGTTTTCATCCTGGCCGAAACTTCTACGAGTTACCGCGTATTGCTTGATATTCTTAAATAATATACGTAGTAATCACCGCGACAGTGTTCCAATCACTATAGCATTGGCCATTAAACGAGCTAAAGAATTCTGGATAAGACACATCCAGCGGATATACTTTAACTCTGAGCTTCAAACGATCAAAGAAAATCTTCCACTACCAAGGATTAGCAAATTAAAGCGATTAAGTCCGTTTCTTGACTCCAAAGGATTGTTACGGGTAGGCGGTCGACTAGATCGTGCTCCACTCTCTTACGATGAAAGATATCCGACAATCTTACCTCGTCACCGTATTTCCGAATTGATCATTAATCAAGCTCATAGGCAGACATTACACGGTGGAGCACAATTGACATTGCGAGTACTACGACAAAACTTTTGGATTCTAAATGCTCGAAACACAGTCAAAGGTTGCATACACAAATGTGTCAAATGTGTACGCGAAAAGGCCGTGCCAGTTACGCAACTTATGAGCGACCTACCAGATGTTAGAGTCACACCCAGTCGTGCCTTTCAGCACACTGGGTGTGGATTACGCCGGGCCGATACAAGTGCTGTACAAAGCGGGTCGGGGCCAACGACCCTTTAAGGCATATATAGCAGTCTTTGTGTGTTTTGCTACAAGGGCTGTACATCTGGAGCTAGTCTGTGACTACTCCACAGCCGGCTTCTTAGCAGCCTTTCGCCGTTTTACATCTCGTCGAGGAACTCCCACTTCATTACTAAGCGACAATGGCACGAATTTTCATGGAGCGGACCGCGAATTAAACCGCTCCTTCAGAGCCTTGATTAAAGACCCTAGTCTAACGAGCCATCTTGCTAATGATAGTATTGACTGGCGTTTCATTCCGCCTTCCGCACCTTACTTCGGCGGCATATGGGAGGCTGGGGTGAAGTCGGTTAAATATCACTTAAAAAGAGTTATCGGAAAACACTTGCTCTCTATAGAGGAATTCAATACACTACTAACGCAAGTCGAAGCTTGCCTAAACTCAAGACCTATTGTTCCCCTCACGGACGATCCAAATGATGTTAATCCCCTCACTCCAGGGCATTTTTTGGTTAATTGTCCTTTGGTGGCCGTACCTGAAGAATCCCTCCAAGACCTAAAAGAAAGTCGTTTGGACCGCTGGCAGCGCGTGCAACGTCTACGCGAGCAATTCTGGCACATTTGGTCAAAGGACTACCTGCACACGTTACAGCAGCGCCACAAATGGCAGCACATACAATCGAATCTTAAAGAGAATGAACTTGTCTTAGTCCGGAATGATTTATTGCCTCCCTCAAAGTGGGAGCTGGGTCGGGTCATTCGTACACATCCAGATGGTCGCGGACTCGTACGCGTAGTTGACATCAAAACTATGACTGGAGTGTATGAACGACCTGTAACTAAACTCTGTCGACTACTAAATGATTCGAATCCTTGATATTATGGAAACTTCAAAATGATTCCGCTATGGCGGGCGGCAACTTATACCTATTGTATTCTTGTATCCCCTTTCTTTGTTACTCGACACTAATGATAAATCTCCTTTTTTTTTCTTTATATCTTCCCTAGGAAAAGGTAATCTATTGTAATCTTTAACTTTATCATAAAGTTCTTATAGCGCTAAAACTAACTACAATTTCAACCAGTTGGTTAATGATATATCGTACTATATGTACGAGGCGAGCGGTATGTTTAAGCAATCGAGGATAAATTCCTTTTGTATAAAAACGATAAATTTATTAAATTTAAGAATCGCGAGCGTTCACGAGCCCTGGCGTAGTGCTGCCACCGTATTCATTAATTGCGATATACAATCGGTATGCACAAACAACGCTAGCTGCCGGTTTGTTGGAATTCTTGTCTGTCAAAACAGTCAGAACGCTCCTGGAGCTCACGGTGTGAGCGTTCAACGCGAGACCTCACTCTTTCTGTACAACCTTATAATAAAGTTGTGATTTATATTGTAACAAGTTGTGAGTTCTTGCCCACACTTCGATATTA